CTATACATATATATATATATATATATATATATATTTAAGTTATCTCAAACTACCATTCCTTCAGATAGTATACTGTTATTTTTTCACATTTTCTGCAGACATTACTTTACACTCAGTGACTGTCAATGTAACAATATCCATTCATGGTACCAATCATTCTTTACAACATGAAAAATCTGTAACAGTTTCGTAATTGCATAAATATACTGTAATTTACATTTTTTCAAAGTTGTCTTACAAACACAAAATCATAAACTTATGAATTATAATGTCATTTTAATTGAACAAGTTGACATTTAGAAGTGATTCATATTGTTGTTATAACTTGTCTAAATTGCATTCAGTGTTCGTATTTGTGATATATCCAATATTAGCAAATTTAGAGATGTTATAAACTAAATTTTTAATTTAGGTATAAATTTGATATTATTACTATACAAACTGTGTAATAAGTACAAAAAATAACACAAAGTTATACTACATAGTTATACAAGTACTGGTGATATCAATTAAAGTGATGTGATACAATGATAACATAACACGCTTAGAAATTTTTAATAATTAAATACTACTATTACAAGTTAGTAGTCTTGGTTTTACTTTTACTTTTAGCTACCCCTTCTTAGACTTAAAGTGAGTTAAAACCTAGGCTAAAGTCTAACGGCTAAGTAAAACTAAAAGGAATTATTTTTTGTTGAGGGTTGCCTGAATTATGACATTTTCTGAATGAAAGTTAATAATCGTAGTCTTTCATTAAAAAAGTAAAAGTAAAGTAAAAATGAGATTACAAGATTCTAAAAAACTGTATATCGAAAGTTAAGATCTGTTTTTTATTCAGTTATTGGACGTACGCCTAACGCTAACAGTTATCAAAGACTAAAACATTACAACCAGAAAAATATTGTTTAAAGTAAATCTTACAAAGGAAATAAATGAAACATGTTAGATTGAAAACCAATATTAGTTACGTTACCCATCTTATAAGTTATGCGAACATATCAGAAGGAAGGATACACGTGAGAAAAGAAAAATTAAAGATGTTTGAACCTCGCGCCTCACTTTTAATGGGCCAATCAACGCTATAAAAATTTTCGAATATAGATGGCAGCAGTTAGTTATCAACGTTAAAATGGCGGATTCTGGCGGGAGTGGATCAACAGCAAGCACTATTTTACAAGCCAAAGAAACGTTTGAGAGTAAATACTTTTTGTATGAAACTGAAACTTTTTTCTGTCTTTGCCTAAAATAAATTTTATCACAGCTTATAAAGTTTGAGAAAAACGCAATTAATGGCATAATTTTAGTTTTTCAGTGTGATCGTATTGTGTTGTGCAAATTACAGACTTATTCAATGCGATTCATGAATTATACTCGTACTGTGTCGTCAAGACGTATAACTAATATTAATGTGCTTTTACTAATTACTCAAGTTAGTCCTTTGTAGTGCATAGGCTTATAAGTTAAATTTACAAACTACAGTTAGAAATACAAGGTTTTGTTTCGTTACATTAAGACATAGTGTACAGTTAGGGTTTTTAAAAGTCCAGAAATATATAAAATATTTAGGTGGTATAGTTGGTGAGGAAGTTCACAGAAAGGCCATTCAACCCATAAACAGTAAAAAAGAAATGGTAATCAAAAGAAAATTTTCAAAGTATAGATAACTCATTGTGAAGACAAAATATTCAATAAGTGTTTGAAGTAATTTAAGTACACTTTACAAGCAGTTCCACAAAAAGCAGAAAACAACTTTTTTGTGTGTATAATAATGCTGTTTTGAGTTTCATTAAGCAATAATATAAGAATTCATATTACCAGTTTCTTTATTCCACCACTTAAAACAGATGAACAGTTTGAAAATTGTACATACTTCTAATAGTTTTGAACATCTAAGTCAAGTTCTCTCTTATTTCCTATGTTTGAGAGAAACCTTTTGTGTTTGCTTAAATAACAAAACTAGTTTTTACTTTTGTAACTTCTATCTGAACTCTAAATATGCTGATACATGTATTCTTCCTGTCTTAAATGGACTGAAACTGCCCAGGGAATCCTAAATAAAACCTTATAAAAGTCTTATACATGGATCAAGGTTGCGATAACCTTCTTGCTATAAAGATTATAAATTTAATTATTGATAGTTAGTGATGTATGTTTGTTTTTCCATCAGCCAAAAAGGTAGTTTTTGTTTTTTTCTGTTACTTACTGAATATGCTTGTTTTGTACTTTGGTTCATTGACTACTTTACTACCAGCAGGGATAAGAAACTAAGATGGACTTTTATTGTTAAATCAGTAATATATGTGGATTCCACAATACAGGTTTTATTTATCAAAGGTGGCCCATTGAGTACACACAGCCTGCTGTTATGCAGCCTGTAAAGTTCATTAGTATTAAGGTTATTCAAGCATAGATTTTATTTTTATTCAAAAAAAGGTATAAGAGATCAATTATGAAATAAAATTATTTGATGCTTTGATTAAATAATGCATGATGTTATATACTTACTGTTTCAATATTTTGTGAAGACTGCTTTTTCTGTAGTTATACAGGAGATATCCAGACTGTTAAATACTGGTTTGGACACTGAGACTCTGGCAATCTGTGTTCGTCTCTGTGAAAGTGGAGTGAACCCAGAAGCCTTAGCATCTGTTATTAGGGAGCTTCGAAGGGAAAGTGCAGCTGTTAAGGTGAGTTACGTTAGGTTCCTAGTTCACCTCTTATAAAAAAGACCTTTCTTCAGAAAGCATTAAATTATCAAGTTTTTGTTTTGTGATTTGTAAGTTTCTTTTAGTCAGTATAATTTTTTAGAAACCATTATTCATTTTAAATCCTGAAAACTGTTTATAAGTTTTCATTAAAATAAGTACTTATATCCAAACCTTTTTATCTTACTAGCTCTGTCTTCATTGTAAACCATCTATAGTTTACAAACCATGGTAAAATTAGTAATTGATTAAAAAAACATTAATGTTACTAAAGACCTCTATCTTGTCGATTCAAAAACTGTACACTTGTGGATGTTTTATTGTGTTCATCCTTAAAAGTTTTGACTCACAAAAATATATTATGTTGAAAAAATTAAACATTTTTATTTAAAAGGAATATATCATAAGCCAGTGAACACACGTGCACTTATGTTAATATAAACATAATTAAATAAAATTTACATTAATTAATGTGCTTTTTGAAAAAAGTTTTGATCTATTAAAACGAACTGTCACTCCTACAGTAAACTTTTCTGTTTATTTTTGTTTTGTGACTAATTTACAAACCTATATACTGCTTTGAACAGTTTTTTAAGAAACTAGACCACAATATAAGTTAAACTGTACAGAAATGACAGTCAAGGACAACATCTGTAAAGCTTCAGCCATTTTCTTCTACAAAATAAAATAACTGGTAATTATTTTCTTACACGATTTAAACTTTATTTATGTGAAACACTCAGTATTTCTTAATTTTCTCTTTCTTCTCTCATCACCTGCAATAGGCTGGAGAATCAAACCACTAATCTTCAGGCAGCTCTTCAGGGATGAAAACAACTCCATGATTGATGAAATAGTTTTTTTTGTTTTGAACTCAGTAGATTAACTTATTAATTTTTAAAAAGTTGTATATAAAAGTTTTTTTTCATAGCTCCAAGTATACCTGCAATCTTATAATGGACAAGAAATAAATAATCTTATGTATAGCAACAATAATAATGATGCCCTCTCATCTTAAAAGGAACTGATATTAAAATAATACAAACTTTATGTGTATGTTGTATTAATGCAAAATGTATAGTTGGTACAACAGTTGTCCGTGTCTTACATTTAAGTAGCTAATGTGTAATAACTTTTTTTTTTAAATGTGATTGAGTCTAAATGACACCGTTACTGACTATTAATGATTGGATTGTACTTGTGAAGGTTGAGTGAGAAACAGTAAATGTTTAATCCTCCACATACTAGAGTTCTGAGAAATATATTATGTGGTTTGTAATATATACATTCAAAAGCAAAATTTTACATGGAAGAAAAAATAAAGTTTAGGTATGATAAAACAATCCACTGTTTATCGTTATTATCCTAATGAAAGGTTTCATGATTTCTAAAATATGAATATTTTAAAATATCCGTCAATTTTATTTATACGTATTTTTACAACCTGTCAACAAAAGCAAATCCGTTAAACTCACAAAATATTTTAGAACAATATTATGCATGTTGAAGCTTTTGTATGTATAAACCTAGTGGTTAGGGCAACAGTAGCTGTTACTCTTGTGACTTGTAACAAAAGACATAGTGAAATTGTTTCAATGTAACAATTTATCATCATAAGTCATTACTTCAAACTTCAATAGCTAAGAACAGTGTTTTCCAAACTGTAGGGCGTGCTCCACCTGGAGGGGGCAGTATTTTCGTGGGAGAGCCCAAAAATAATAATTGAAGAAACAGAAGAGTTGGACACAACAATAGCCTAACAAAACTATTACTTTGCTCTGAAAGCTTTTTTTTTTGCTCTCGCACTTACTCACTTCTAACAAGCATTTTTTTCATTTAAAAAAAAATTTATTAAAAACAGTTAGAGATAACGTTGATTTTGCTGCTATCATTTGCAAAAATTAATTTAATTATCGTGAAGGGGGAGGGGACACAATGGAAACTTTGCTGAGTTAGAGGGTGTCAGTATTTAAAGTTTGGATTAGAAGAAAGATAAGTCATTTTAAATTCTTAGTTCTGGAACTTGTTTTTAAAGTGTGTAACTGTAGACTTCAAGTAGAACTCTACAATCTAAAAACCTCTATCATCTTTACAATGCTTTCCCTGATTTGGTTTTACAAGGTAGTCTGATTTTTTCTGTTAACAATTTTTACCATGTAGCCTAATTTTTATTATCCAGCTCCTGGAACGGACCTGCTATACTGTAAAATGTTCTACAGTTACTGGTGTGCCTTTAATTTGTTTGTCTTGATATCCTATCAATAAAGACATTTTTTTTTTTCACAGCAACAAGCCACTATACAAGTTTTCAAGTTTACTTTGTTTGTTTTTTTAAACTGTAATTACCTCTTAATTATTTTAATTTATTCTACAACTTTTAAAGCACCTTGTGAATACTTTAAATTGATGTTATATAGTATTGGATGATTTCTGTTATACTTGTTTATGGTAATGCTACTAATTCTGAACTGTTGACCAGATGGATGGTAAATGGCTGGTAAAACCCACTATCAACTGTTTCACCAATAAAAAGTAGGATCGATCTTCACAGCTGAAAGAACAGGAATCTTTGGTGCCACGTTTCAATCTCACGACCTACTCTTTATTCAGCTACTGCTGCCCTAACCACTAGGTTTTTTGTTACAAGCCAGAAAAGTAACAGCTACTGTTGCCCTAACCACTAGGCTTTTTGTTACAAGCCAGAAAAGTAAAAGCTACTGTTGCCCTAACCACTAGGCTTTTTGTTACAAGCCAGAAAAGTAACAGCTACTGTTACCCTAACCACTAGGTTTTTGTTAGAAGTCACAAAAGTAACAGCTACTGTTACCCTAACCACTAGGTTTTTTGTTACAAGTCAGAAAAGTAACAGCTACTGTTACCCTAACCACTAGGTTTTTGTTACAAGTCAGAAAAGTAACAGCTACTGTTACCCTAACCACTAGGTTTATACATATAAAAGCTTCAACATGCAAAATATTGTTCTAAGAGTAACAGCTACTGTTGCCCTAATCACTAGGTTTTTTGTTACAAGTCAGAAAAGTAACAACTACTGTTGCCCTAGCCCAGAGCACTTGCCTGGTGTGCGAGTAGGTTCGAGTTTGAATCCGACCCAAGGAAAAAATAAAAATTACTTTACAGCAACATAACAGATTAGATGATCATAAAAATCTGTTAGCATAATGCTGTCAATCAGAACAAATGGGTTAAGTAAAAAAAATTAATTCTGCTGAAACAAATATGTGAAGTTTACGTATTCAAAAAGTGCTGATATAAAAAACATTAGCAATTTTTACAAAATAGTTTTGTTTTTTTACTTAAATCCCAGTAATGAAAAACTTCAACTAAGCTAAAGGGTTAATCCCTTAGCACTTGCTAATAAGATACTTTTTAACAAATCAAGCTACCACGTTCTTCCTGTCTCACAAACAAAACCTGTACTTGAGCCTTATTCTCAGGTTTGTGGAACTGCCAGCAGCTGGATAGCAATTTTCTGTGATATACTTGTTTTTTGCATGTCTCACTTGTAGGGTTTAAACATAGGACTACTCATATGTAAGGTGAAAACTTTGATTTCTACATGCAGTATTTCAATCCTGGAAGCTATGACTGGAATCAAACTGCTACTACTGGGAATAGTGTAATTGCTTGTGCTTTTTAAGACTTCATGCTACCATGGCACTTTCTGATTGGTTGGATGACAACCAGTCACAGCGTAAAAATAACCAACACGTGATAGTACTTTTTAACATCTCAAGCTAACACTGTAATTAAGAAAAATTTTGATGTAATTTTTTAATAAGATTACAGATAACTAATGTAAAATTAGTTTTTGGTTTTTCTGCAACTGAACAGCTTATGGAAATAATGCTTAATCAGTGCAGTTCCATTGTTCATGTAGATAAAATATAAAAATTTCCTTGATAGATAACCCTCTGACTGGTGGTGATGGAAAATATTCCCCAATGACAACTTGTACTTTCTGCAGCTTATGAGAGATACAAACTTCCTGTATGAAATGGAAGAATTAAACATGACTAAAAAAATCAGTCATGTCTACTAGCGTGAGGTTTTGTTAATGATAGACATTTCTGTCACAGGGTGAAACGACAGTTTTGTCGAAAGAAAAAATAATAATTTGTGAAGAGTGGGTTTATTGCAACATAGTTCAAAGGTCACTATATTTCTGTTTTGAACATGAAAAGCCATTGTTTATGGTTGTTTTTAAAGAGAGTATTGTATAACGTAATAGCATTAGAAAACCGTACATTTACAGAGGTGTAGGAAGCATATTAAAAATTTGTGAGTTCAAGGTTTATTTGACTGAGCAAAGTGAGGAAATGGCCAAGGTGAGCCCTGGAAGCACTTTAGTTTTGGATTAAATTTTATGCATTCTCCTACTTTTTTGTGAGTAATTTTGATGTATTTTTATTGGAACAGATTGAAAAAGTCCTATCCCTCTGAGTCATGATACTGCCATTAATAGTATTGTTGCGTCAGCGAGGTCACGTGACCTATTTTCTAGAAGTATCTTGTTCCTTCATGAATGCCCTAGTATTTACTAGATATATGTTTTTCTGGTATATAAGTAAGACGCTCACAACGTGATGAAAGAATGTGTGTGTAGATAGTGAGTAATTGAACTGCAGTCAGAAGTATTGTTGACGTTCGTTGATATAGCGTTTGTTTTAGCGTGATTGTTGAAAATAAGTGTATCGTAAAGTTGTATTCGGAAAAAATAAACCAGTTTTATTAAGTAAGGATTTGTGTCGTTAAAGTTTCGTCGGAACGAAGTTACGGAAAGTTAATTAACGAACGGAGACGTAACAAATTGGTGTCAGAAGTGGAACGAAGAAAAAAAAATGGAAACGAGAGGCGGAAAATCAAACTACAACTTAGCAGACTTGATGGCAGCAATACAAGAAAAGCAAAAGAAACAACAAGACAGACAACAGCAGTGGCAAGAAAACCTACAACAATGGCAGCTCGAACAGCAAAATAAACAAGAGAGATTACAGCAGTTGTTGGAGGAAAAAGAAAAGAAACAAGAAGAACGAGAAAAGAAACAAGAAGAGAGATTACAGCAGTTGTTGGAGGAGAAAGAAAATAAACAAGAAGAGAAATTACAGCAGTTGTTAGAGGAGAAAGAAAATAAACAAGAACAACTAGAAAAGAAACAAGAAGAGAGACTACAACAGTGGCAAGAAGTACAAATGGAAAACATTAGTAAATTTAAAAGCGAATTAGATACTTTAAAGGACGACTTTTTGTCTTTTACACAAGGAGGATACATTGACCATCGACTTAATCAGCCCCAGACAACGGCAAGCCCCTTATAGAGCCCGCAGCTAAACCCTAATGCAGACATATTCAGTCCCGTTAGAAGTCACATCCCAGATATGAATGTCAGTACTAGGAGTGATCCAGTGCGAAGGAAGCCACAGGAATACGATGGGAAAGCACTGTGGGAAGCATATAGAGCACAGTTTGATTTACTGGCAGAGATAACGGATGGACAGAGGAGCAGAATGCAGTATAT